TCATGGCTGCCAGTCGCGGCAGCATCCTTGGCCAGACGTTGCAGCGAACGTCGGAAACCTTTGACAGACCTGGCGCGCACCACGATGCCAGGCAAGCGGTTGAATATAGCAATCAGACCATAGATTGACCGATGAAGCATTCGAGGATGGCCCGGTTGGAGAGGTTCGTGCAACGCCTTGCTGTGCAAACGCGGATCTGATGAGAAACCGTACCTTTCAAGTTGGCCTCTGAACGGCTCAAATAGAGAAGCCAACGATGGCGGTGCTTTCCCATGAGCAACCTTGTATAGAAGACCAAGCATTGCAATGTCACGCCGCAACCCCAGTGGGCCCAGATTGTGTTCAAGTAGTGTTTCCTTGGGTGTCAAGCCCACGCCTTCCAGAAAAGTGTCTAGCAGCCCGTCGAGATGGCGGAGAGTGGCTTCAGCAGCATGGTAAATTGCCGGGGTAGCGCCCTCAATGTACGACAGCACGTGGCACTTGTATAATCGAACCAGCTCAGCAGTGGAGTAAAACCGCTTTGTTCGAAGTAGCGCCTGGAGCCTCCAGGAGCCTTCTGCCACGAAGTGGGACACTTCTTTGTACATACTCAATCTGGTGTCGAACAGCACGCCGAGCATCTTGAACGTTTCGCCGTCTGGCGAGATGGTGTCCAAAATATGGAAGCTTTCCTTGTCCGGCTCGAAGAGGACCTGGTTGGCAGCCCCCCACCTGTGGAGAGCTGCCTGGCATGCGGCCGAATCGCGGTTGATGCCTGCATTGCCACACACTCCGGGGTAAGTGCGCCAGCAATTGAGGTCATCTGCGAAAACGGTCTCAACGAATCCCGTGGCATTGATTGCTGCGCGAGCGTCAGAATAATAGATGTTCCAAAGTGGAGGTCCGAGCGCGGTCCCTTGATACACTTGATTCTGAATCTCCAGGTCCCCGGCGAAAGAACCGTCGACGCAGACTTTGGCGATCCGGGAATCCAACCAAGACTTGATAACCTTCAGAAGGGCATCGCAAACGCCACGTGCTTCTAGCTTCTCCACCAAACGACTGGCGTTTACCCGGTCGAAGGCTGCAGAGACGTCGGAGCAGTAGATAGCAACCCGCCGGCCAGAGCCAAGAGCCCAAATCCATTGGAAGACGTTGAAGGCCAGAGCGTCCCTGTAACCCCTGTTCCTGTGGTACGCGAACTGGTTGTTCCCGTACGAGCCAGACTCCTCGAAGAATGGAAGCATGAATCGAGCGATAATTCGTTCAACAACTTTGGACACATAGGATGTTAGGTGTATTCCCTTGTAGTTCGCGGGTTTGGACTTGGTGCCGCGCTTGAATAGCGGGAATAACCAATGGATTTTCCAACAAGACGGCCAAGTTCCAGATGACAAGTCAAGCCGGGTCAGCATACCCAGGGGAACAGACAATGGACGCCAACATCGCTTCAATATCTTTGCCGGCACACCATCAGGGCCGGTGCCGCAATTCTCCCGGAGCACCTTGAGGACAGCTTTCGCCCAGCGTGCGCGTACACGCAGGAAGCCGGACATCCTCTGACCCGCAGGGCCCCGTATCGCAGAATACTCGTTTGGAACGGGCTCTGGCAAACCGTACATCGAGGAACAACTCGTTCGAAATAGATCGGGCTTGCCGGATGCTGTGGAAGCCCACTCGCCGTCGGGACCAAGCAGGGGAGGTATGGAAGAGACCTGGCCAGCTCGTAACATCAACGAGTTGCACAATGTCCACCACCTCTTGGACGACGAACTCAAGGACAGAATCTTATGCCTCACCCGGCGCGTGTACTTAGAGTGCTCTTCCAACAAGCCCTGCGAGCAAGCTTTAGCGGCATAGTCAAAATCACGAGTACAAGATGCACGAACTTTGGCTTCAATGAGTTGCCGGTTCCGTTCGTTCAGCCATGGATGGGACGATTTACTAAATGTTCTACGTGATATTGCGATGTACTTTCTGGCTCGCTCAATAATCGTATGCGCGAACTTGTTAGCAGCCTCATCGGGGCCACATCCAGCAAACAAGCCGTTCCAGGCGATGCTGTTGAAAGAGTCGCAGAGACCATTCCAATCCGCTTGCCTGTAATCCCAACAATCTCGTTCAATAGGAGCCGAATGCTGTACGGCCAGCTCCACTTTTGCCAAGACAACACTGTGGTCGGCAATTTGGGGAAGCACTTTGTATGGGACCCCGGCGTTGATGTCTGTCAGGACCAAGTCAAGCAAGTGCGCTCCACGAGTCGGCTGCCGGACTCTCTGCACCAGGCCCATTCGCGAACATGCCATTTGCAAGGTACGGCCTTCTGTGGAATTGCTGTGCGAATGTTTCAACCAAGAAGTTGAATGCACATTCATGTCGCCCACGACGAGGGTACCAAATGCAAGATGCCGGTGCTGCCCCCATTCCCTCTCGAATTCTAAGATCGACTCCACCTCTCCGTGGCAAGGTGGCCAGTACCAGACACTGAATAATAGAGGACCGTGGTTCGTATGAGCGATGTGCCAAGAGCGCTCGTACTCAGGCGAATCACCCACGTGAACAACATTCTGGGCAAAACTTAACTTGGAGAACACAGCAACACCCCCGCACTTCCGCCCATCACGACGATCAAGACGGGAAATCTGGCAATAACCTTCCAAGTCAACTTCAGAAACTGATTTTTCCAAGAAAGTCTCGGTCACAGCTACAATATCTGGAAAATCTGCCAAAGCAAGTCTGTGGTGAAGTTCAGCCGCGTGGCTAAGAAAACCGCCGAGGTTCACGTTGAAAATGGAGAAATGCTGATTGGAGTCCGACGGCTCAGGCCCGGATTTTCGCGGACCGCCGTCGGGAGGGCGACAATGCCCTGAATTATGCTTCCACTGCTGGAGTCTATGTGCATATGCCTGTGCAGAGCGTGGGCCACGGCGTCGAAGACGACGATGGGGCACTGTCTGCTGGGGCCGCTCATCTGCCTCAGGGAGGCGGGCGGGCCGGTGATAAACATTAACTATATATGGATGTGAGTGTTGATGAACGGCCCCGGGAACACCCTATTCGATGACTAAGCTGTCAAATTCTGCCTCGAACGAGCCATGCGGGTCATCTCTGCCCTGACGAAAGGCAACGACGTTGTTGACGACAACCTGCCTCTCCTTAGACCCCTCCACCGTCCACAAAATCTTCACCTCCTTCCCGGTAGACTGCGGACTCTCTTTGATGAGCGAGTCGGCTTTGCGAATCGCCCAGTTCCGCTGCTTCTGTATTTTCGTGCGGGCCATCTTGACTACGATGTGCTTGCCGCTATGCTCACACCTGATGCCTGGGGACCCCAAGACACCAAGACAGGATTTCGCGACGTCATTGCTGCAGAACTCAACCCACGAAACTTTAGATAACTTCCTGTTGGAATATGGGCCGGGATATTCATGTCCAAACCCAGTGGGACGAAAATGTGGAACATGAGAGCGGCAGAATTGCTCCATCACTTGGGCCCTGGTGTCCTCGGTAGCGTCATCTTGCTAACCGACAAACGCGATACGACGAAGAGCAGGATCGAGACGATCGACGGCACTTTGAAGATCGGCGATGACCTTGCTAGACGCTGCTGCTGCTGTAGGTGCCTGCTCTAGTTTGGAAGTGCGCTGCTTTAAATCATACATATCCGAGTTCAGGGGGTCAACCGCTTCAGACACGGAGAGTTTAATCTGAGCCTGCAGGTCTTTCTTCATGTCCTCAACGTTTGATTTTAAGGCCATCTTGTCCATTTTCTCCGAAAGTGCGTGAATAGCCTCAAGAACCTCCAAGTTCGGGGACTGCGTGGGGCCACGCTGCCAGCACTCCGTACCCTGCCCGTGCCCGCGCTGCCCCATTGTTCCCAGCCGCCTTCCCCCCTCAGCCTCCCATTCGGGGGCAACGCTTTTCGGTAGGGGATAGGTTCAGGCGGGGCACGCATCGCTCTTCGATCGCCGACTGATCGCCGATGGGGGCCCGACAGCCTGCCCCGCCCAGGACCGTGCGGGCTCGTTATCATTAGCCCATCGCCGATCGATCGGCGATGTATCGCCGATGCAAGATCGATGTTCGATGTTTCCGCCCCCGTGTCTGTAGTTTCTGGCATCTCGCGCCCGCTTTCGGTCTTCTCCGTCCGTCCGATCTTGCGTCGCGCTCGCAGGGCACTGCCCAGATTTGTCCGCAGTTCTCTCTGTCGAATGCTCGGCGCCACGGCGCCAACGGTCCGGCCCTGTGGATGGAGACGGCGCCCCAGCGCGTATGTGATCGTACGTGCGTCGCCATTGGAGGCGGTCAGGGGGTCCGAGATGGTGGGACCCCAAGAAACAGGGCTCGACCTAGTCGGTGTTCCAGGTCGGCCTAAGGGCGGGAAACAGGGCCGATTTCGGGGACCGTTTTTGTTTTAATTTCGTTTTCCAGCAAAAGGCGGAACGACTTTGGAGCGAGGGAACACGAAACCAGCACGAAAACGGAAAGCACGGTTTATGTCGAGCCTTGTTGAGAAAGTCTGTCCAGAGAGGAGCAGGTAAAAACCATTTGTCGGGCAGGGACCCGGCCCGGCGCGCGCTGGGATGAGGGCAGATCCATTCCAAGTCGGTCCCGGAACCCCTCCCGATTAGTTTGTCGACGGTCCGTGGGTCCAGCAGCTGCCCCTGGAGGCCGAACGGGCCAAGGCACCTTTTCGAAACCAGCGCCTCGAGCCTGCGCTTTGGGAAACACTTCTGTTCACATCCACTGCAGCTTGGAGCTCGGGGCTTCCTTCCCAGAAACCCGAGGCGCACTACATTTGGATGCGAATCTGCCCCCTGCCGAGGCTCGATTTGCATCCGTATCCAGTGCGCCTCGGCCCTGTGGCGCTCCTTCCAAGAAGGTCCCAAACGCACTGGATATGGATATGAATCTTGCCCGCCGGTGCCCCCGTTCCCTGCGTGCAGGAGCCAGTTCTGGGCCACCTGGGCTGGGACCCCCAGCCGACTCCAAGTCCCCCCCTCGACCCATCGCACCTCCAGGCCGGCGTGGAGCCGCGCGCGCTCGTGCCCGTGGACTCGCGGAGCTACCTGCTCGTCGTCCGCGAGCAGGTGCAAGTGGCGCTGGCAGCCGCCGTGAGGCCGCGCGGAGACGCAGGGCGCCCGTGCCTCGCAGCCCGGGCTCTGTCTGCGCAGCACCCCGCGATTGCGGGTAAGAATGAGGGGGCGGGCGCCGGGCGTGTCGCGTGTGGGTCGCGGGTGGGTCGCGAGGGGGGTCGCGGAGTGTGTTGCGGTCGGGTCGCGGGTGAGTTGCGGGGGGGGGGGGAGTCGACAACAACAAGAAGAGTCCGCGCCGCGCACCCAGGGATGGTGTAAGGCTGTTCGGCCCCCTCTGTCTGACCTAGATATTTTCGCGTTGCAAAAACATGTCTGTTTTGTCGGCGGTGGTGCGGTTCCGAGCTGCTGTCTTGCACTGACGTCAGGAGCTGCTGAAGAGCGTGAATTGGGGACAGGCAGCGGAAAATGATGAGGAACAGGAGGAGACGACCCCGAGCAGCGCGAAGTTCCTCGGGATGTGCTGGTGCGGGCTCGGCAACGCCCAGTTTGCTGACACGCCCAGATGTCTAAAGACAGCACGAAGCGGGGGCCCTCGCTGGGCTAAACGCTCTGGCTGTACAGCCGACCTCGGGGCCTGACGCTGGCCGCCGCCGCGAGGCCGCGCGGCGGCGCAGAGCGCCCGAATGCCGCAGCCCGCATTCTGGAGACTTAGCACCCTGAATTTCGGCTGAGAGTGGGGGCGGGCGGCCGGGTCGCGGGTGGGCCGGTTGCGGGGGGGACGACGACGACGACGACAAGATCAGCATTATGCGCTTAAAAGATTGACCGTGTTTGCCCTCGTGTCAGTCAGTATGCAGATCCAATCCTTCGATCGCTGCCTTTTTCGTATTCGATCTTTCCCCCCATTGGACGTGTGCCACATGTGCTTGGCTCAGCCCATAAAAAAGCTGAAGAAGGAATGGAGCGTGGAAGGGGCAGGGGGAGGGAAAAGGATGGCTCACGAGAGTCTAGGGAAGGGGCCTCAGCAGGAACACGGGCGGCAGAGCCAGTTTGGGCGAGTCGGGTGGGCCTGCCCTGACGGGCGGGTCGAGTGGCCGTTCCCAGACGGCCATGTCGAGCGGGCAGTTCGTTGAGGCGTCAGTCTTGGATGAGCCGCGATGACCCATAAAGTGCAATCGCGACGTGCCAAGTAACCCGTCCAGACATCCGAAGCGAAATGTGATTCTTGAGTGTCGAGGGCGCGGCGTTGCAATGAACGGCAAGCACGTCCCACGCGCGAGCGCGAGGCTTGGACAGATGGTGGGGAAGTCCCGAGCGAGAGCGCACTTCTCCAAAACAGTTTGAGGACATATCAAGCGGGAGCCATCGTTGTGGTAAACTGGGGGGCACGGGCGCACTCTTAAGCTTCAGATCTTCCTTTGCAAAGGACGAATGCGAGCCCAAGGATGGGCACGTAAATTGAAACACGGACCACACCAGAGCGACGTCAACAATATTTGTTCTTGAGAAGTGAGAAGTGCACCATAAGTATAGCCAGAGTCCGTAATGCCCAAACAGCGTGTTTTGAGCCAGGGTGGTTCCAAGGAGTGTTCGCGCGTTTTCCTGCTCCTGATCCGCCTGCGGCTGCGGGATGATCGTCGAGCTTTTCGACATCGTCGCCGTCCTCCTCCTCCGCATCCACGTCATTCTCCTTCTCGCCCTCCCCTTTCCACTATCTCCTCCTCATCCACCTCCTCTCTTCCTCCCGCTCCTCCTTCCCCCTCATTGTCAACCTCCTCCTGATCCTCCTGATCCGCATCGCTTTCCTCCTTGTTCCTTTACTCCTCCTGCTCTCCTCCTCCTCGCCGTGTCCCTCCTCTGTACTTCTGCTCGTGTTCCGCGCCCTGCTCCGCTTATCAGTGTTCCATCCCCTTCTCCTCCTCACAGTGCCTCTTGCCCTCCTCCTCTTCGAATTCCTCCTCCTCCCCCTCCTTCTTTTCCTCTCGGACCTTTTCCTCAGTCTCCTCCATTCCTTCTCCTCCCTCCTCTTCTCCGCTTCTCCGCCGTCCCAGGGTTGCCCCCGCACTCGATGCTGCTTCTAGGAGGCACCCTCGCCAGGCTGGCTCTCAAACGTGTGGTTTGAGCCTGATTTCGTTTCCCTCCTCCACCGTCAACTGTCCCTTTCCATTTCTGCTCCCCCGGCCTGCCTGCCCCCTGCTCACCGCAGGCTTGCTCGAGGCGTCTCCGTGCTTCACCTCACGCGTGGCCCCCCCCCGCGAGAAGCGCTCACAGTCTGCCCAGGAGTCGTGCCTGCGCGGCGCCACCGGGGTCGCCCAGACCCTTCCCAGAGCACAGCCCGACAGCAAAAGTGCATCACATGCCTCGCTCAGGTCTGCGCCCTCCTCGCCCCTCCTTTCTCTTCCTCTCGGAGACACGGGCTGCGAGGACGTCTCGCGCGAGAATGGCCGAGACACCTCGCGCGCGGCATCTCATAGCCCCTCAGTGCGACGGTGCCTCAAGCGAAGCGCGCCAGACCGCCTCGCGCCCGTTTTCTGAGAGCCCAGGGACCCGAGGCCGAGGATGTCTCAGGTGACGCGAGCTGGGCCACCCCGCGCACAACTTTAAGGAGCCTGGAGTTGCAAGGACGTCTCAGGCAAAACGGGCTGGACCACCTCGCGCGCAGCATCTCGGAGCCCCAAATTTTGAGAATGTCTCAGGCGACACGCTCTGTACCACCTCGCGCACGACATCTGGGAGCTCAGAGCTGTGAGTATGTTCCAGACGGCGCCCAGACCACTCTCAGATCAAAGTTCGATATGGGAAGTGTAACCACATGTTTCGTGTGGGTTTGGTCCCTCTTCCCTCTCTCTCTATCTTTCTCTTCCCTCTTGGAGCTCAGCGATGCGAGGATGTCTCGAGCGAAACGCGCCGGACCACCTCGCGCGCGGCATCTCACAATCCAGAATTGTGAGGATGTGTCAGGCGAAACGCCAGATTCCGACCAATTCAAAAACGAGGATTCTGAGTGTCTCTCAGGCGAAACGGGCTGGACCACCAAAGGTGTTTTGTTTTTGAGAATGTCTGTGCGCGCACGCCCCTCGACCGGACCTGGCTACGATCACAACAGCATCCCGTTCAGCACTCGCTTGTTTTGGGAATCGTGTTCATAATGATTGTGTTTTATTCTTGTCAAGTGTCGCCCAATTTGAATCTCCAAACCAAAATGTTCGATATCCGCCCGTTTCGTCTTCTATCGTATACCCCATGATGGGCATGTCTTCCTCACCTGCCACCTTTTGTCGGCGCAGCCCCTAAAACTGGAAGGGGAGGGAGACAGGATAAAACATCTTGCGCAGAGACATGGACGGCAGAAGGGATGGAGGAGGGAAGGATGGAGCACAAAAGAGAGATTAGCAGTAGAAGGTCCTGTAATCATACGGGCGGGTAGGGCGGGCGGACTCTGATGAGCGGGTCGGGCGGGCGGGCCCTAGCGGGCGGGTCGGGCGAGCGGGCCCAGAAGGCCAGGTCGAGCGGGCGGGTTGGGACAGCAGTTTTGCATGAATCGCGATGATCGGCGATGACCAGTCGAGCGATAGCCCGATTCTCAGAATCGTGAGGCAGTTCAGAGCAATAGCACGATTGCTGAGTGCCGGAGGCGCGGTGTCTGCGTAAATTGAGAGGACGCCCCACGCGAGAGCGCGATCTCTCGATAAGTGTTGAGGAAGTTCCTTGCGAAAGCGGTACGCGATGTGGAAATATGAGGCGGGAGCCGTTGTTGCAGTAGGTCGGGGGCCAACATCCCAATTTGTGGACCCAAGATTTCGTTTGTAAGCAACAGAGTGCAGAGTGCGCCTCCGGGAGGGGCACTCCAATCGAAAAGCCCGAGTGGGCATTGGAGAGGGGATACCATCAAATATCCAGTGACAACCCCGGCCCACCCCGCCAGCGCGCCAGGGTCGTGGGTCAGAGTCCCTCTGGATGTTCGTTTGAATATCGTGGGAGGCCCCCTGGGGGGTCCCTTGGAGGCAGTTTTGAGCCCCCCCCTCATTTCGGCCGTCCCTCGGGGGCCCCGTGGGGCCCCCAGGAGGCCTCTTGGGCCCCTTGCGGGGCCTCCTTGGGGCCTCGTGGGGGCCTCCTGGGGCGGAAGGCTCGAATTGGCGGTTCGTGTTCCGCCTCTTGCGCTCCTCTTGGGGCCCTCTTGGGCGATCTTGGGCTGCTTGGGGGCCTTCTTGGACCGCCTTGGGGTCCTCTCGGGGGCCTCTTGCGCCGTCTTTGGGCGGTCTTGGAGGCCTCTGGGGCCATCTTGGAGCGTCAGAAGCTCGAAAACGCGAGAACGCGGAAACATGTAAAAATAGAAGGACAAACAATGCTTTGTGCTTCTTTGGACCCTCTTAGGGATCCGCTGGGAACGCTCTTGGGATTTCTTTGGGGCCTCTTGGGCACTTTGAATACCACCGTGGGCGTCTTGGAGCGCCGTTGGGCTGTCTTGGAGGCCTCTTGGGCGCTTTGGGGGGCCCTTCTGGCTTGCCTTGAGCCCTTGTGGCTTTTGGAAATCTCATGCGACCGAGCCTAAGAGCGCGCGAGAGCGCGCGGGAACGCCAGCAACAGTTGAGAATTTAGGCCCCCACCCCCTAGAACACTATAACCCCCCAGTCCTGAGCACCCTTGAGGACCTAACGACACTCCACTTCGTACCCCGAGGCATGGTGGCGGATTATTGTTCAGAAGGAGGAGCACAACAAGGACAAACGACGACGCAACGCAGCAACAATAAGAATCCGCGCGGTGGAATCATACTTCAACCGCGCACCTAGGGACAATGAATGACCCTTCGACACCCTCACTCTGGTGTCTCCATGGTAATGCCATTGAGGCCCCCCAGATGAAGTCAGAGTACATGGGAGCGGAGGCTCGGCGATGTGTAGTAGTGTGTAACTTGATCTTGTCCACGCCGACGGCGCCGATGCATCGCCGACGTCGCCGACGATGCTTCGCGATTCCCAGACCCCATCTATTCTGACCCCATCTGGGAGACATTTTGACGTCATTGGTTGCTGAAGGTAAGGACTTGTAGATTCCCACATTTGAATATACGTGAGGCGGCTTCCTACTTCATGCGTCGGGTGGTTTTCCCTCTTCCTCCCTCTTCAAGGGGCGAGCGGGAACACAATGCGCTTTTAACGCGTCCCTCCGTCACGGTTCCACCCATTTCTTCCGACCTATGAGTATCATTAGTCCGATCCGTTCTCCGCCGCGGTATCTTTCTGCCTGTCCCTGAAATGGCGCAGGTACCTCGCCATCATCGGGACCCCCCTGGTCCATTGAGGAGCGTTGAGACACTGTCCTCAGTCCGCCGATGTCTTGTGTTTGTCTGGCAAGGGCCTTTTGATGCAGGCGCATCGACGAGCAGGAGGAGCAGGGTCGAGGGCAGGAGGAGCAACGAAGGAGGGAACGAG